ACTGTACACTCCCTAAACATCAGCACTACTGTACACTCCCTAAACATCAGCGCTACTGTACACTCCCTAAACATCAGCGCTACTGTACACTCCCTAAACATCAGCGCTACTGTACACTCCCTAAACATCAGCGCTACTGTACACTCCCTAAACATCAGCGCTACTGTACACTCCCTAAACATCAGCGCTACTGTACACTCCCTAAACATCAGCGCTACTGTACACTCCCTAAACATCAGCGCTACTGTACACTCCCTAAACATCAGCGCTACTGTACACTCCCTAAACATCAGCTCTACTGTACACTCCCTAAACATCATCGCTACTGTACACTCCCTAAACATCAGCACTACTGTACACTCCCTAAACATCAGCTCTACTGTACACTCCCTAAACATCAGCGCTACTGTACACTCCCTAAACATCAGCGCTACTGTACACTCCCTAAACATCAGCTCTACTGTACACTCCCTTAACATCAGCGCTACTGTACACTCCCTAAACATCAGCGCTACTGTACACTCCCTAAACATCAGCGCCACTGTACACTCCCTAAACATCAGCTCTACTGTACACTCCCTAAACATCAGCGCTACTGTACACTCCCTAAACATCAGCGCTACTGTACACTCCCTAAACATCAGCGCTACTGTACACTCCCTAAACATCAGCGCTACTGTACACTCCCTAAACATCAGCACTACTGTACACTCCCTAAACATCAGCTCTACTGTACACTCCCTCAACATCAGCGCTACTGTACACTCCCTAAACATCAGCGCTACTGTACACTCCCTAAACATCAGCGCTACTGTACACTCCCTAAACATCAGCACTACTGTATACTCCCTAAACATCAGCTCTACTGTACACTCCCTAAACATCAGCACTACTGTACACTCCCTAAACATCAGCTCTACTGTACACTCCCTAAACATCAGCTCTACTGTACACTCCCTCAACATCAGCACTACTGTACACTCCCTAAACATCAGCGCTACTGTACACTCCCTAAACATCAGCTCTACTGTACACTCCCTAAACATCAGCGCTACTGTACACTCCCTAAACATCATCACTACTGTACACTCCCTAAACATCAGCGCCACTGTACACTCCCTAAACATCAGCGCCACTGTACACTCCCTAAACATCAGCACCACTGTACACTCCCTAAACATCAGCACCACTGTACACTCCCTAAACATCAGCTCTACTGTACACTCCCTAAACATCAGCGCCACTGTACACTCCCTAAACATCAGCGCCACTGTACACTCCCTATACATCAGCGCCACTGTACACTCCCTAAACATCAGCTCTACTGTACACTCCCTAAACATCAGCGCTACTGTACACTCCCTAAACATCAGCGCTACTGTACACTCCCTAAACATCAGCACTACTGTACACTCCCTAAACATCAGCACCACTGTACACTCCCTAAACATCAGCACCACTGTACACTCCCTAAACATCAGCGCCACTGTACACTCCCTAAACATCAGCGCTACTGTACACTCCCTAAACATCAGCTCTACTGTACACTCCCTAAACATCAGCACTACTGTACACTCCCTAAACATCAGCTCTACTGTACACTCCCTAAACATCAGCGCTACTGTACACTCCCTAAACATCAGCTCTACTGTACACTCCCTAAACATCAGCGCTACTGTACACTCCCTAAACATCAGCTCTACTGTACACTCCCTAAACATCAGCGCTACTGTACACTCCCTCAACATCAGCGCTACTGTACACTCCCTCAACATCAGCGCTACTGTACACTCCCTCAACATCAGCTCTACTGTACACTCCCTAAACATCAGCGCTACTGTACACTCCCTAAACATCAGCGCTACTGTACACTCCCTAAACATCAGCGCTACTGTACACTCCCTAAACATCAGCGCTACTGTACACTCCCTAAACATCAGCGCTACTGTACACTCCCTAAACATCAGCGCTACTGTACACTCCCTAAACATCAGCTCTACTGTACACTCCCTAAACATCAGCGCTACTGTACACTCCCTAAACATCAGCGCTAGTGTACACTCCCTAAACATCAGCGCTACTGTACACTCCCTAAACATCAGCGCTACTGTACATCAGCGCTACTGTACACTCCCTAAACATCAGCGCTACTGTACACTCCCTAAACATCAGCGCTACTGTACACTCCCTAAACATCAGCGCTACTGTACACTCCCTAAACATCAGCGCTACTGTACACTCCCTAAACATCAGCGCTACTGTACACTCCCTAAACATCAGCTCTACTGTACACTCCCTAAACATCAGCGCTACTGTACACTCCCTAAACATCAGCACTAGTGTACACTCCCTAAACATCAGCGCTACTGTACACTCCCTAAACATCAGCGCTACTGTACACTCCCTAAACATCAGCGCTACTGTACACTCCCTAAACATCAGCGCTACTGTACACTCCCTAAACATCAGCGCTACTGTACACTCCCTAAACATCAGCTCTACTGTACACTCCCTCAACATCAGCTCTACTGTACACTCCCTAAACATCAGCGCTACTGTACACTCCCTAAACATCAGCGCTACTGTACACTCCCTAAACATCAGCGCTACTGTACACTCCCTAAACATCAGCGCTACTGTACACTCCCTAAACATCAGCGCTACTGTACACTCCCTAAACATCAGCGCTACTGTACACTCCCTAAACATCAGCACCACTGTACACTCCCTAAACATCAGCTCTACTGTACACTCCCTAAACATCAGCGCTACTGTACACTCCCTAAACATCAGCGCTACTGTACACTCCCTAAACATCAGCGCTACTGTACACTCCCTAAACATCAGCGCTACTGTACACTCCCTAAACATCAGCACTACTGTACACTCCCTAAACATCAGCGCTACTGTACACTCCCTAAACATCAGCGCTACTGTACACTCCCTAAACATCAGCTCTACTGTACACTCCCTCAACATCAGCTCTACTGTACACTCCCTAAACATCAGCGCTACTGTACACTCCCTAAACATCAGCGCTACTGTACACTCCCTAAACATCAGCACTACTGTACACTCCCTAAACATCAGCGCTACTGTACACTCCCTAAAAGAACAACACTGACCCGAGAGTGTCGACTCAGCCCCGCCCCCTGAGTGTGATTGACATGTGGATCAACATATCAGTTCAGCATTCAAAAACAAATGGCATCATGTATGTTTTACTCTTATTTATGTCTTTGAAAGCTCTTGAATGTGGTTTAGGACGTGAAAATATTGGTCGGATTGGAATCCTTGCATATATACTGTATTCTGCATTGTAATATGCAAATATAAATGTTTCAGACAGTAGTATGCTGTCACATGACCTCACGTTGCATGTTTAATTTAGTGTGTGGCATCCAGTTATCACACTAATATCTTTTATTTTTTTATTTTTTACAAGTACTTATATATATATATATATATATATATATATATATATATATATATATATATATATATATGTAATAATATAATAATGTATATATATATACAGTATACATATATATAAATTATAGATTTTTATTAAAAAAATACACAAAATTTAATTAGTAAACTGACTAATAAATATTTAAAATATATTTAGTTAAATATTTAGAAATTTATTTTCCTAAAATATTTTTGAGCCAAATTTTTGTAAATTATTTATATATTAAAAAAAAAAAAATAAAAAAAAAATAAACCCCAGATAGAAAAGCGAGTCTGTGAGCTGGAACAGATATTGTGGTTATTTTTGTGTTTCTGTGTTTCTCTGAGATGTTGTTTGTGCTAGTTAAGCTCAAAGCATGCTGGGAGTTTCTCTGGGGTTTGATGGAGACACTCTTTGTTTCTCATGTCCGTGTTCTCACCGACTCTAATCCCACCGTCTCTGTTGAGGAATCCCGTGTTTCCCTCGCTCTGCTTTCATCCGCTGCTAAAAATAACTCGGGTGAGTCTCCTACTGGGATCTCTCGTGGATCAAAGTTCCTCTGGAATGATCTCCAGTAAACAGGGTTTTTACGCTTCATATATGATGAACGTTCCTGTTAGATCACAGCAATCCGTCATATTTATCCCTCCTCTGACAGTCAGAAAATCATCATTAAGTCTTCATATTCCACGAGTAATAAAGCCACTAATAAAAAATATTGTGGTTCGCTTAAGAAGGTCTCATAAAAAGGCTATTAGACGCGTGTGTGGAAATATTACCGTCGTCCTCCTCACGGTTTTATGATGCATCTGTACGTCCTCACCTGGGACCAATAAAGTCTTCAGCAGCGTTCAGATTAGACCTATTACGCCCTTTTTAATGCGTTTTCAGGCTCTACTAGAACATGTTTTCCTGCTTGAATATTCAAAAACATATTATTTTTCATATTTTTGCGGCTCCTCTCTTCCCAGTCTGTCAGTAACGCTCTGTTTAGCTCCTGTCTCTATGAAGCCCCTCCTTCTGAAAAGCACACTGTGCTCTGATTGGTCGGCTGGAGCAGTGTGTTGTGATTGGTCGAGCACTTCGAGTGTGTTTGGGAAAGTCCCGCCCCTTTCCATAACCACCAGTTTAACACACTACTAACTAACTCAACCAGGCCCCGCCCCTTTAGTCTACGCATGAATTATTATAATGAGGAATATTGTGACGTGTTCGTTCCCGGAAGAAACTCAAGACTACAATGGAGGCGTTTCAGGAGTTCAGAAACACTGACACTGATATAGAGAAGAACTGGAGCGTTTTCATCCTCAAACTGCAACATTACACACTGAAGATGGTGGTGTTCTTTAAAAATAAACGTTCTTTATTGTCATCGCTGGTTCCATGAAGAACATCCATGTAATCTTTGTACAAAAGCTTCTTTATAGTGGAAAAGCTTCTTTAGATTTTTAATGTTCTTTTCAGAAAAAAGTGATTTTTCAGAACTGATCACCGAAAGGTAAAAAAAATGAACCTTTATTTTGAAGAGTGTAGACCGCAGTGTGTGTGTGTGTGTGTGTGACCTCGTGTTCAGCCAAAGGACAAACATAATGACCATAATCTGGGACCAGAACTGCATCATAACCACACGATGGGCAATAAATGTGTGATGTTCAGGAGGAGGAGGGCAGGACGTATTGAATAATTCAGCCTCATGTCTGCATGCGTTAGCGTCAACAGGGCAAATCCTCGCGTCCTCAAACACACACACACACACACACACACACACACACACACACACACACCATCTGAATTATTCACTGGGAGTGTGTGTGTGTGGTGCTGAGACAGCAGATGATCCTTTAAGAAACACGCTGAACTAACATGCAACACACAGAGAAACGTACATTATGAGAAAAATATTTTTCCCTGAATAAAATGGTCCACATCATGACTTTTTTTCTTCTTTTTTTCATTTGGCTCAAAAATATTTCAGAAAAATAAACCTTTTCAAATATTTACATAAATATATTACAAAATATTTTATTTTATTATTATAATTTGACCTTTTTGTGTATATTTTAAATGAAAATACAAATATAAATAATTGTAATTATTATAAATAATAATAATTTATTGTTTTGTGTTATATATTATTTATAGTTTTCCCCCACAGTTCGACTGATTCACCATTTATATATTTTTTGCATTTGTCCGATGCTTTATCTAAAGTGACTCTTCAGAACATGTTAGGGTATGTTTACACGACGCCATTTTGAATGCGTTTATTTACACGATAACGGCGTTTTGGGGTCCTGAAAACGCAAACTTTTGAAAAAGTTTTTTAAATAGCAAGTTTTTAAAAAACGATAGTGTTGTCGTCTCTGTGTAAACTACAAAAACACTCATTTGTGAAACGGTAGCGTCATGCGGATTACGTGTTCAGTCTGTAGGTGTGTGTAGTCGCCATCTACTGGCCTAAGAGCAGAATACAGCGATTTTAGTCGTTTAATATATTTTTTGCATTTGTCAGATGCTTTATCTAAGTGACTCTTCAGAACATGTTAGGGTATGTTTACACGACACCATTCTCAACGAAAAACGAAAAAATTTGCCTGTTTATTTACACGACAACAGCATTTTGGAGGCCTAAAAACTCAAACTTCTGGAAAGGTGCACGTTTTTGAAAGCTTTATCGTCTCTGTGTAAACTACAAAAACACTCATTTGTGAAACGGTGCCGTCATGCGCATTACGTGTTCAGTCTATAGGTGTTTCTTTACAAACTGACATCGCCATCTACTGGTCTAACAGCAGAATACATCGGTTTTAGTCGTTTCGCAGATCCGTGTGAACGGGGATCGTTCTTACAACGCTGTCGTCTGTACACGAAAAACACAAAGGAAAAGTGTTTTCTGTTTTCCGTACGTCGTTGTCGTGTAAACGAACCCTGATACCCAGCGTTTTCTTTGCTTGTCTCCTACACAGCCTGAACCTGAAGTGAAAGAGACGTCACAGCAAGTGCTTGCTCGCGCAGCGGCCAAAGGCTTGCTAGACGGACTCCACCCGAAGCAGCCAATCAGCAGAGAGGGCCGAGGCCGACGGTCCCGAAGAACACCAGCCAATCACCAGCCCTCCACGAAGACACGCCCACACGCCACACAGAGCGACCAATCACGCGTGGCGGAGTTCTTGAACCACGAGATGAGGGGAAGCAACTCGGCGCCGATGGTTTCTCCTCGCAGTTCGTCACGATACGGTTAATTTAACTAGTTAATAACAATATCTTGGTAACACTTTACAATAAGGTTCATTAGTTAACTAATAATATACTGCACGTATACAGCATTTATTCATCTTTGTTAATGTCAATTTCAACATTTACTAATACATTATTAAAATCTTGTTTACATTAGTTAATGCACTGTGAACTAACATGAAAAAACAATGAACAGCTGTATTTTTATTAAATAACATTAACAAAGATTAATAAATACAGTAACAAATGTATTGCTCATGGTTAGTTCATGTTAGTTAATACATTAACTAATGAACAATATTGTATATCTTTAAGCTGTTAACCGTCCCCCTGACTTTTGAGCATAGATCTGAGCATGAATGCTTTGTAATACTAACATAATGTTGGTCTCTTTTTAACTCTTTCCCCACCAGAATATTTTGTTGTATGAATATCTGAACATGGAATATATAAGAATATGGTGGGGAAAGAGTCGATGGCGGGGAAAGAGTTAAAGACACTCAGAAGATCGAAAAAAAAAAAAGTGTAAAAAACGTACAGAAGTTCGTTAACTGTGTCACAGGCCAGCTCATAGCCTGTGGCAAAAATGAGGGGACACGAACAACAGGTATAGGCCAATCAAAAAGGTTCTTTATTGTAAACCAAAAACTATTAACTTTAAACAAGGAAAAAGGAATGAGGTGTGAAAATGTCATAATGTAAGGTGTATGTAAAGTGCAGGGATGCATGAATCTGTGTGTGTGTGAACATGACTGAGTGGAAACTAAGTAAAACTACAAAGGAACAAACAAAACAGGATCATACCTGGAGGAGCAGAGAGAGAGATAAGAGTGGTTAGTGAAGCAGTTTAAATACCCTGAGCCCAGGTGGCTCCAATCACTAACGACCCTCCTAACCCTGCAGGAGGAACCGCCCCTGCAAGGCAGAGGAGGGGCCATGACTCCCCCCTCCTTAAAATGAGGGTCCCACCCTCAACCCAAAATTTGGCCCAACATATTTAAAACAATCCAAAGTGCCCCAAAAACAAATATATCTATACCAGTCCTGGCTCCTAGCAGTCACCCCGCGTCCCCTGACTGACTGTCCGTCCCTCCAACTCTGCAGCCCTGGTACCTGGGGAGCAATTTAAGAGAAAGAGGCACCGACAGCTAGCAGGGGTCAGCAGAAAGAAGATACAAACTAGGGTAACGGCGCACGGGACAGGGCATCAGCAATGATATTATCCTTACCACTAATGTGTCTAATATCAAGGTTGAATGGTTGCAAGAACAAAGCCCAACGCATCAGGCGCTGGTTGGGATTTTGCAGGGACTTCAGAAAAATTAGTGGGTTGTGGTCAGTGAACACAATTAAAGAGGTCAAACCGGAACCAACGTAGACTTCGAAGTGCTGTAGAGCCCAGATGAGTCCTAAAGCCTCCTTTTCAATTACAGAATAGTTTTGCTGATACTTATTAAATTTCCGGGAGAAGAAACTGACTGGACACTCAACATTGTCATCATTTTCCTGGAGAAGCACAGCCCCAGCACCAATTTGACTGGCGTCTACCTGCAATTTGAAAGGTTTCCCAAAATTTGGTGCTGCCAACACGGGTGCCAAACACAAAAGAGCCTTAACTGCATCAAATGCCTCTTGACATTGGGTGGACCAGATAAATTCAGCCTTGGCCTTCAACAGATTGGTCATTGGGGACACTACTACCGAAAAGTTTTTACAGAAAGCACGGTAGTACCCCGCCATTCCCAGGAAGCGCATCAGTTCTTTCTTTGTGGAGGGCTGTGGGAACTGCTTCACAGCCTGAACCTTGGCTTCCATGGGAAAAACAAAACCCTGACCAACAACCTTGCCTAGGTATGTGACTGTAGCTTTGGCAAACTCACACTTTGCCAAATTGATATTCAACCTGGCCCACACCAGTCTTCCAAACAGGGCTTGCACTCTCCGGACATGCTCCTCCCAGGAGTCCGAGTAGACGACCACGTCGTCCAAATACACGGCACACCCTTCCAGACCTGAGACCACCTGATTCATCAGCCTCTGGAAGGTGGCTGGAGCATTCCGCAAGCCGAAAGGCATCACTGTATAAGAGAACAAACCAGATGGAGTTATAAAGGCAGCAATCTCACGAGCTCTTTTGGTAAGGGGTACTTGCCAATATCCCTTTAAAAGATCAAATTTACTAACATACTTTGCTGACCCAACTTGATCAATACAGTCCTCCATCCTAGGAAGAGGGTAAAGGTCTGCTTTAGTAACATTGTTTAGTTTTCTATAATCAGTGCAGGGTCTGAAAGTGGAATCAGACATTTTAACCAGAAGGCAGGGTGAAGCCCAATTTGAACAACATGGCTCAGCAATACCATTGTCCAACATATACTGCACCTCTGTTTCCAATTGCAGTCTCTTCTCCTCAGATACACGATAAAATCGCTGTTTGATAGGCTTAGCATCTCCGATGTCTAGGTCATGCTCAATTAAGTGGGTTTGCGATGGGGTGTCAGAAAACAAAACGGGGTACTTTCTAATAAGAGCTACTAATTCATCACGTTTCTCAGAATCTAAATGATCTACCAAAACCCCAAGGTTTTCCAAAGTCTGGGAGTTTTTCAGCCGACCTTGTAAGACCTCATCCGAAACCATAACTACCTCTTCTTCCCCCTCCACAAAGTTAAAGCCACACGATGCAGTGACTGGGGCAGCAGTCAACGCTGACCTCACTGCTGGAGTGCCTTCAACTTTGCTTAGATCACGGGAATGATAACATTTCAATAGGTTCACATGGCACAACTTAGAAGACTTCCTATGACCAGGGGTTTCAATAAGATAGTTCAAATCTGACACTTTGCGCAACACAGTAAAAGGACCACAGTATTTTGCCTGAAAAGGTGAACTTACAAGAGGCAAAAGAGCGAGTACACGATCACCAGGACCAAACTCACGCAGCTCAGCCTGTCTGTCATATCTCGGTTTCATTTTCTTTTGAGAACATTCTAGTTTTTCTTTCGCCAGTTCACCAGCCCTATACAACTTCAGCCTAAAACCGTTTACATAGTCAAGGTTCCGAGGTGGTTCCTCAGGCAAACAACCATCTTGCAGCACTGCTAAAGGCCCACCTACCTTATGACCAAACACTAAGTCATTAGGGCTAAACCCTGTGCTTTCCTGCACTACCTCACGAGCAGCTAGTAGCAGCCAAGGTAACCCCTCCTCCCAATCTGCAGACAGTTCTGTACAGTAAGCACGAAGCAAGGATTTTAAAGGGGTCATATAATGGTACATGCACTTTTTCAAGTTGATTGTACTGAAATGTGTGTTGGCAGTGCCTGTACACAACCATCATATAATGATAAAAATCCATCCAGTGGTTTTGTTTTAATCTCCTTATATGTTTTCCCCTGCCTCAAATCAAGCCGTTCGACCGTGTGACGTCACACGGTCGGAAGCCCCTCCCGCGATTGTTGATTGATAGGCGCGTTTCAACACAGACCCGCCCTCGCTCGTGAGAGCTGTCAATCATAGTCTGCGCGGACATTGTTGATATGCTGGAGCACGGTCTATGAGCAGAATGGCGTCTAAGCGATTGTGGTGTTCTGTTCTTGGGTGTAATAACGAACACAGCAGTCATTTTAATGTTCCTGAATCCGAACCGCTGAAGACGCAGTGGTTGAGTTTGTTTTCGAAGGGAATATTCCCCACGAGCAACGTCACTGCTCTCATATTTGCGCGAATCATTTCTCACCAGACTGCTTTATAAACGAGGATCAGTATAAAGCTGGTTTTGCTAAGCAGCTGCTCATGAAAAAAGGATCGGTACCAGATATTCGTGTTCCTGCTGAACCTCTAGAACAACTGAAGTGAGTGTAACGTTTTATTAAACTTTATATTAATATTTATATCTTTGCAAATCGCTTCACGATGAATGAGTCTAAGGTTTACACTCAGGGTACATTACTGCATGTTTTCTATGTACGACGTTCTCCATATAATTCATAATCCCACGTTTATAATGAACAACACGTTATGGTATTGTGTTACAAACGTGTACGCACAGAACAGAGGGGCGGGGTGAGCAAAGCTTATGATCATTTAAAGTCATATGCACTGAAACGGCGTGCTGAAAACAGAGCTGTTTTTGACCAGGTAAAATAAGTGTTTTCTTACAATACTAATGAGAATTTTTAATTAAAGTATATTACAAACTTTTAATTTAGACCCTAAAGAATTATATTAGCTTGTACAAAAATGGCATTATATGACCCCTTTAAAGTTTGATGAAAACGTTCCAAAGCTCCCTGGCTCTGGGCATGGAACGCAGTAGACTTGTTGTGTTTAACTTTAAGCTGCTTGAGAACCTGAGCAAATAAATGGGAGGTAAAGTTAGACCCCTGATCTGACTGAATGATTTTTGGAATCCCAAATATTGAAATAAATTGAGTTAATGCTTTAACTACTGATTTTGAAGTTATGGTACGCAAGGAAAAGGCTGCCGGATATCTAGTTGCTTGACACATAACTGTTAATAAGTAGCTATGACCTGACTTGGACCGTGGTAAAGGCCCAACACAATCGATAATCAGATGCTCAAAAGGTTGCCCCACAGCTGGTATTGGATATAAAGGTGCTGGCTTTACAACCTGGTTTGGCTTGCTTGCACGCTGACACGTATGACAAGTTTTAAATAACTGAGCTACATCCCGCTTTAAACGTGGCCAGAAGAAATAATGGAGTATGTGATCATAAGTTTTACGAACACCCATATGACCTGCCATATCACCATGTGATGTCTGCAACACTTTATTTCGCAAAGTAGTAGGTACAACTATTTGAAAAACTGGTTCTCCTAGACCCCGATCACAGTGTGGAACCCATTTCCTGACCAACAGCCCATCAAGAAGAAAATAACACTGAGCACTATTTCTCACCACTGAATCAGGAACAACTTTATCAAAGAGATCGGCCAAAGTAGTATCGGCCTTTTGCTCAGCCATCAATGAATCTCTAGAACTAGTCAACTGTTCTGTCTGGAGTTTAACTGGCAACTCAAGACTTTCTGGCTTACTCTCAACTTCCTTACGAGAGGCAGAGCGGGTAATAGCACAAACTGGAAATACCTCAGGAGACACACTGCTGGAATCTGGAGATACACTTGCAGGTGGCGCTGCAGGTTGCTTCTTAAAGATGTTTAGGTTGCCATCTGCCCACACCTTACTACCTGCCAAGTCATTCCCCAAAATCATGTGGACTCCCTCCACTGGCAACTGAGGTCTAACCCCAACAGCTACATCACCCTCTACCAGACCACATTTTAGGGTAACTTCATGTAAAGGAGAAGAGAATGGAATTAAACCCATGCCACATACCATTACACAACTGCCAGTATCAGACACCTTAGAGAACGGCAGAACAGATTGCAGAATAAAAGAATCTAAAGCTCCAGTGTCTCTTAAGATCTTAATCGGAAAATTTTGGTTGCCATCTACCAGGGACACTACACCATCTGAAATAAAGGCTGAGAAATCACAATGGGAAGACTGAGAACCAAACTCAACTAGTGGCTGAAAATGCTCACCTTGGTGGTTAAAGGCTGTAACAGGAGCTGCCATCACAGCAGGTTTAAAGTGACCTGACTTTTTTGATTTAAGTAGAGGACAATCTTTCTTCCAATGTCCTTCAACTAAACAGTAGCGACAGGTATTAGCATTAACTGTTGCTTTAGGTCCCCCAGAACCAAACTTCTGCTGAGGCCTTTGGAAAGAAGCTCCAGAAAAAGGTGACCTACTATTCATAGGAGGAAAATTATTTTTATGGTGCATGTCACTGTTTGACTCAAAATGGGTTTTATGTGTTAGCCTGTACTCATCTGCAAGGACTGCTGCATCAATTGGAGACTTAACTTTACGTTCATTAATGTATGTAGCAACCTGGTCAGAGACAGAATTTTTGAACTGTTCTAACACAATCAAGTTAGACAGACCCTCAAAAGTGCTAACTTCAGAAGCTGTACACCAACGATTAAACGCAGAAGTCAAATCACGAACAAACTCAGAATAGGTTTGTGAATCTAGCTTTTTCCTGTAACGAAAGCGTTGACGATATGCCTCCGGCACAAGCTCGTAGACCTTCAGAACTGCTGATTTAACTTCATCATAAACTTTACAGTCAGCTACACTTAGAGCTGAAAACGCCTCACGTGCTTTACCTGTAAGTACACATTGCAACAACATGGTCCTATCCAAATCTGACCAAGCTCTAGCTCCCGCAATACGCTCAAATAAAGTAAAGTATGTATCTGGATCTGACTCATCAAATTTAGGCAACAATCGAAGATTCTGTGAAACATCAAACTATGGTGGTCCTTCTGGTCTATTGGCATTTCGCAATCGTGCTATCTCTAACTGCATTTGCAACAGCTCCCTCTGCTGCTCAAAAGTTAATGAAGGGCTAGACTGAAAACTTGCACCCTCACTACTACCAGACTGACCACAAAGAACACCTACTTCCCTAAGACTTTGCTTTAAAACAGCTTTCACAGTCTCTTTAAGTTTATCAACAATCTCAATCTGATAATGTTCAGCTATTTCAATTAACTGCTCCTTAGTACACAGATCTAAGGCCAACTCTGAAGGAACCTGAACAAAACTTCTCAAGGTGGAAGACATTTTCCTCAACCAATACAACTATTACAAATGCCCCAAAAAATATGTTACACAACTCACCTGCTGCCAGTCTGGGTTTAAGGACAGGAGCCACACCCCACTATCCTCCAAAACTACTAACTAACTGGCCCCTAGTCTTCGTGCAGTCACATGTGGTGGGGTTTTATGCACACAAAACCAGTGGATTGGAAAAGACAACCAGAAACTGGCGGCCCCCCCCATATCCACGGACGTGCTCCCGAACCGATGTAGGGAAAAAGGGAAAGGGAAGCTCTACCCACGTTCACTGCCACCTAAAACAAACACCACGAGCCTCCTATTGACACTCGCTGATAAGCCTCAACAGGAGAGGACTCCCACCTGAACAAAAACCCAGAAAAGGCACAGAGTGAATTGCTAAACATATTTAGCTACAAAGCTAACTGAACAAAAATGGAACACATGGCTCTCAACGCTCTCTCCAACAATATTGGCCCAACCAAAGTATCCCCTCAAACAAAACATTGGCAATCTGAACTAAACGAACAAACTACTAACCCAAGTTAACTATAAAACAATAGTCAAAATAAGCCAAACTACAAATGAACAGACTTACCAATGATAAGACAAAGACAAACTAGACAAAACTTTAACCAACTATGACACAATGTTAAAGTAAACTAGAATACTAAAGTAAGACTAAAGTACAATTAACTTTAACTTAAGGACGAGCCCCCACTTGTCACAGGCCGGCTCATAGCCTGTGGCAAAAATGAGGGGACACGAACAACAGGTATAGGCCAATCAAAAAGGTTCTTTATTGTAAACCAAAAACTATTAACTTTAAACAAGGAAAAAGGAATGAGGTGTGAAAATGTCATAATGTAAGGTGTATGTAAAGTGCAGGGATGCATGAATCTGTGTGTGTGTGAACATGACTGAGTGGAAACTAAGTAAAACTACAAAGGAACAAACAAAACAGGATCATACCTGGAGGAGCAGAGAGAGAGATAAGAGTGGTTAGTGAAGCAGTTTAAATACCCTGAGCCCAGGTGGCTCCAATCACTAACGACCCTCCTAACCCTGCAGGAGTCATGGCCCCTCCTCTGCCTTGCAGGGGCGGTTCCTCCTCCGGTTTCCACTCAGTCATGTTCACACACACACAGATTCATGCATCCCTGCACTTTACATACACCTTACATTATGACATTTTCACACCTCATTCCTTTTTCCTTGTTTAAAGTTAATAGTTTTTGGTTTACAATAAAGAACCTTTTTGATTGGCCTATACCTGTTGTTTTTGCCACAGGCTATGAGCCGGCCTGTGACAACTGAGTGTGCCGAACTATATATTTAATTTATACAATCTATATATTTTACAAAACAATCTAAAGCCATACCTTTCACCAGGTTAGGGTTATTTAAAATTGATGTCACAAAAATTGAGCCGCTAAATTACTGTGCGATCTCCACTTTCAAAAAGGTTTTTACAGGGTGAATTTTGAGTGAAGCTTTCAAATTATACGCAATTTGTGATCATTATTAAAATATGTGTTTGGGGGAAAAGGCTATTAAAAGAGCTCCCGGGACACTGCCGGTGAACAGGCTCGATCAGTCGTTAACGGAAATGTTTTTCAGAGGAAACCACTGAGGAAAACTAACCAAACTTCCGGATTACTTCTCTATCTCCACAGATCCACCCTCGAGTTCTCGACGTCTCTTTCAGGGCGTGTTCTCCAGGACAGGCCACACCCCTAGCACAACAGGCCACACCTTTAAGACAACAGGCCCCTCCCATGACACAGCAGGCCACACCCCGAACACAGCAGGCCACACCCCAAACACAACAGGCCCCTCCCATGACACAACAGACCACACACCTAACGCAACAGGCCACACCCCGAACACAGCAGGCTCCACCTCTAACACACCAGGCCACACCTCTAACACAACAGGCCCCACCTTTAAGACAACAGGCTCCACCTCTAACACACCAGGACACACCTCTAACACAACAGGCCCCACCTTTAAGACAACAGGCTCCACCTCTAACACACCAGGCCACACCTCTAACACAACAGGCCCCACCTTTAAGACAACAGGCTCCACCTTTAAGACAACAGGCTCCACCTCTCACATAACAGGCCCTGCCCACAACACAACAGGCTCCACCCCTAACCTCGCTTCTTTCTCTGATTTCTACTGTACCGGTTTGACTGGTTTGAACACTGCTTCAGCATCTGTGATCGACGATCACTACTCAACGCCGGTCGCTCCGCCTAAAGGCCGACAGGAAGTTCTGAGGCCGACGACTGTCATGTTTCCTCCCGTTCTGTCGTCAAGCGACGGTCTTCTTCCCCAGAGGCGGAGCCATGCTCTCATAAGCCCCGCCCACACCATTACAAGCCCCGCCCACACCCATCAGCACTGGAGTAACTCGACACCGGCTCCCCCTCGAACCCAAGCGGCATTCAGAGCGAGACTGAATCATCTGAGGCCGTGGCTCTGACACATAAACACACACACACACACTCACAAAAACACACTCACACACACACACTCCAGAAGTATTAGTTAGGCTACCGTCAGTATTTTACTCTCCATCTTAGTGATTAAAACCTTTAATGTTATTAGACGTGCCAGATATCTGTATAAGATCATATCTAACTCATTATCACTACTAAACTGGACTGTTCAAATGTCACTGCCATCAAAATGCCATCAGCATATTTTCCAATATCATTTGGAACAAGCATGCAAATAAAACAAGGAGAGACTCATTTTTTGTTTTGATGTAATTTATTTCCACAACATGTTACATTAATATGGTGTAAAAATGAGTGTCTTAGTGGCTGATCTGCGTTTTAAAATATCATTTTGTGCGAAATAACATTCCTGTGTTTGTTTATTTTTTACTTGTACTGTAGCAGGGGCTAGACGTGTGTGTGTGTGTGTGTGTGTGTGTGTGTGTGTGTCTCATCTAAAGCCCGAAACGCTCTACGCATGTACACAAAATCTTGTAGCTAAGCAAGCTCGAGCTCATGCATCACTGCGTTCCACAATTCATAATGCAATGCAAGTACATTGCGCATTTTCAGCCACAAAGGCTCTTATAGCGAAACATTAGCGTAAACCAACGTTATAGCGAAACATTAGCGTAAACCAACGTTATAGCGCAACATTAGCGTAAACCAACGTTATAGCGAAACATTAGCGTAAACTAACGTTATAGCGCAACATTAGCGTAAACCAACGTTATAGCGCAACATTAGCGTAAACCAACGTTATAGCGCAACATTAGCGTAAACCAACGTTATAGCGTAACATTAGCGTAAACCAACGTTATAGCGTAACATTAGCGTAAACCAACGTTATAGCGTAACATTAGCGTAAACCAACGTTATAGCGTAACATTAGCGTAAACCAACGTTATAGCGAAACATTGGCGTAAACCAACGTTATAGCGTAACATTGGCGTAAACCAACGTTATAGCGTAACATTGGCGTAAACCAACGTTATAGCGTAACATTAGCGTAAACCAACGTTATAGCGTAACATTAGCGTAAACCAACGTTATAGCGAAACATTAGCGTAAACCAACGTTATAGAGTAACATTAGCGTAAACCAACGTTATAGCGAAACATTAGCGTAAACCAACGTTATAGCGAAACATTAGCGTAAACCAACGTTATAGGGTAACATTGGCGTAAACCAACGTTATAGCGTAACATTGGCGTAAACCAACGTTATAGCGTAACATTAGCGTAAACCAACGTTATAGCATAACATTAGCGTAAACCAACGTTATAGCGTAACATTAGCGTAAACCAACGTTATAGCATAACATTAGCGTAAACCAACGTTATAGCGAAACATTAGCGTAAACCAACGTTATAGCGTAACATTGGCGTAAACCAACATTATAGCGTAACATTGGCGTAAACCAACGTTATAGCGTAACATTAGCGTAAACCAACGTTATAGAGTAACATTAGCGTAAACCAACGTTATAGCGAAACATTAGCATAAACCAACGTTATAGCGAAACATTAGCGTAAACCAACGTTATAGCGTAACATTGGCGTAAACCAACGTTATAGCATAACATTAGCGTAAACCAACGTTATAGCGTAACATTAGCATAAACCAACGTCCTCTAACGCTTCTCCAACAGTCATGGTTGAGGAACTGCCGTAAGACTTTAAAGTCAACAGGGTTCGCTAATCATTTTACTTTCACAATGTGACATAATGGAGAAAAACACGGGACTTTATTTCACCATTTGAGAATTTACGCACTTGTAAAAAGTGTGTTAGATACCAGGGAGAAAACAAAAGGGTTCGCTGAAGTCTTTAAAGCATTTTTTTGTTTTCTACAAATCAAACCGATGCGTTTCAGCGTCCTCGAGTACAGATCAAATATGATCATCAGGTTTCTGAAGAAGGTTTATTTGCTCAATCATCATTGCATTGCATTACATGTTTTAAAACTACAGAGCTCTGATCATAAAACTGAGCATTTAAATATCATCTTACTAAGACATTATTGGCAGATATTGATATTTATATGCATATTATGTAAGTATCTGCAATACTGTTATAAAGATCAGATTGATTTACATTATAAGCCTCAGCATTTCATCACTTTTTGAGCATATAAATATGAGCGTTTGCTCAGTTTGGACCTCCATATTCTCACTATATGAGCCATAAAAGCCTGATGCATCAAATATGATCCTCAAATAAAAAACCTTAATTTTTAATAAACTGTTCCAATTCAAAATGTTAGATTTTTCTGACTGCTATTTCCTGTCAGGCTTTAGTGTTGACTAACGTGAACACGTCTTTGACTGGACATCTGAATAAAAACACCTGGTTTCATGTCATTTAGACGTTTAATGGACAGTATTGAGGTCTCTTGCGTTGTGTGTGTACAAAAGGAGCGCATGTTTGCCAAGCGTTCATGTCTGTATTTGCGTACTTGTACAGGGAATCTCTCAGGCCTTCGTTTAAATGAAGCATAAGTGTATTTGTGTGGTCAGAACTTGTGGTTACAGTGTTGTTTTGAGCAGATGATATAGAGACTCATGGGTGAACTCATGCTAAAACATTTTACACACACGTTCCCCTTTTCCTGCTACCAAACACCAGAAAATTCCCTCTAAATTTCTTGGGGAAAGAGACCAAAATTTCAAAGGATCCAATTTCCTCATGTGGACGAGTGGTTTGAAATGAAACACACTTATGGCACAAATCTGACTGGAGCTTGAATCCAGGTCACGCGTGTAAAGACTGAGTTACATTGATCTGAGCGTGACCGTAATCGGTGAGACATGAACTCTGACGCCCTCGAAACACTTCAGTGAAAATGTGTCAGTGTAAGGCAAACTCATGCTTCATTCGCTCGAGAAGCTTCTCGTTACGCACAGCGACATCTTGCATTACACTTAGTCTTTTGTTGTGGTTGTGTTGTGTGTTTCTCTTCTGGACTGCATCAGTAAACACACACACACACCTGCTGTCCGTCACAGCTGTTCTGCTCCGTCATTGGTGGGGAACCTCGGGGGCGGGCTTCTTTTTCAGAGTGTCTATGATTGATTGGACGCCGCGCTTCACGCTGGACGTCACGCGGCGAGTGACGGAGTCGCTAGGAGCCGGAGCCGAGGAGCCCGTCTTCCCCAGACACTTCTGATACCGCAGCTAGAGGAAAACACAGGATTATACACACCGTACATGTGTGTACACTACAACTTATGGTGCGTTCACGTGCTATGGTAATTATGGTAAATACCAAAAGCCGACATGGAAAATGCACATGAACACCCCCTCATGTGGTATTTTCCACTGGGCAACTCGTAGAATATTTTGATGCACGAGTTGCCGAGATGAGATTACCTTTGACCTTTTCAAAATGGTGGAGAGCAACGCAAGAGTTGTGAATGGTAAAAATATGTACTATTCATGATCTAGAAAATATACAGCATATATTATTTACCTTTGAGTTTTGATACATCATTTTCTTGCTGTAGCAGATGACTTAAGCAATCTAAAATAGTTTTAGCTAAATAACAGGTCTGGATCTCCATCTTTTTACCACATTACGACAACAAAAGCACTTGAACGCAACACACTGGTAAATACCAGTTCACAAGTGGAAAATATCATATTTTCCATAGCACGTGAACGCACCATTAAACTTTTTGTACAGCATGATATACAAGAAACTTTTAAGTTCACTCGAGAAATTTTTTGCGTTCGTGCGAGAAACGTTTGAGTTCACTTGAGAATTTGTTTCTTCTCGCTGAAGAATTTTTTTTGTTCGAGATTTTTTTTTTGCGTTCGCTTGAGAAATTTTTGGCGTTTGCAAGATTCTTTTTTGCATTCGCTTGAGACATTTTTGCGTTCGTACGAGAAACTTGCGTTTGTTCAAGAAACTTTTGCGTTTGTTCGAGAAACTTTAGCGTTGAGTTCACTCGAGAAACTTTTATTCGTTCGAGAAACTTTTGCATTTGTTCAAAAAACTTGTGTTCGTTCAATAAACTTTTGCGTTGAGTTCACTCGAGAAACTTTTGTGTTCGTTCGAGAAACGTTTAACTTTTGCGTTCGTTCGAGAAACTTTCACATTCATTCAAGAAACTTTTGCGTTTGCTCGGAAAAAAATTGCGTTCGCTCAAGAAACTTTTGCATTCGTTAAGAAAGTTTTGTTCGCTCGGGAAAAAAAAGTGTTTGTTCAGGAAACTTTTACGTTCGTTCAAGAAACTTTAACCCTCTGGGGACCAGAAACGCGCCGGCGCGTTTTGCTCGTTTTTTTTCACATAGCAGAAAAATAGACTTAAAGTACTACCATCATTTCTTTTCATATAGAGTTAAGAAATATGAGAAAATAATCTGTTAAATGTCTACTTTTTTATGTGCCCACATACAATCGAAATAAAATATTGTGCTTTTGTAAAATAAAGAAAATAAACAGGGTGTGCGTTCTGCCTCTCGGTCACCGTGAACATTTTTTCTGGAGCACGTCTCTAATCTTCAACACAACTCAGCTAATACTATTCACCCAGCCATAAGCAATATATCTTTTAAATCATTTGAGTTTGTACTTTTAAATGATCCGATTCAAAACTAAAATTATTATTCTCCGTTTATGTCATCTATATAAAAAGAGAGACGTGTCAGCCCGTCTCATTATCGTTCTCGAGCTGATTATCTCTGGTAATGTGACACGCCCACGGAGAGCACGCGCTATTCAAACGCAAATATGTGAAGCAACACATTGAGACGCGTTAACGCCCATAAACTCTGAAAACACACATTATTTTTTAGTCAGATTAATCTACTGTCGTCTTGCGCGGCTATATGTGGAACAATCCTGGGACATTTACCACTGGGTTTATTTTCACTTCGAGGATGAACAGATTCAGCTGAGAAGTAAGTGTTTTTTGCAAGTGCTTTGTTCTAATCGCGATATAGAATAACGTAGTGTCTGTAAACGGAAAAATAGCATACTGTTAAATGTGAATCATGTTTGTGTGTGTGTGTGTGTGTGTGTGTGTGTGTGTGTGTGTGTGTGTGTGTGTGTGTGTGTGTGTGTGTGTGAATGAATGAATGAATGAACGCACAGATGCGCACTGTTACAGACTAAATAACAGACAACATTTCGTTGACTCGTTTTGGATAAAGTTTTTACTCTAAAATAGACATCAAATAAGCTTTTTTAGGAGTTTCTGCTCATATGTTAAATATATAGTATGTTTTGTCAATAAACTAATCAACTAAGATCTTATAGTGTTTGTTCAAGCTATATCAAAATAATGAATCCTCAACTTTGAAATATGTATGATCAAACTAAGACATTTATGGAGAAAGACAATTTTCTTTTCAAGATGTTTCCAACTCTAACTTTGAACTTTGAACTGAAATAAAACCATGTCTATATGGTGAAGGGTGTGTGATAGAAGTGTCCAGACGTATGCACCCTGTATTTTCCTTATATAAATCCAAACAATCTAAAAGCCATTCTTTTTTAAATCTCCTCATTCTTTGTGCAAGGCTCCTGTAATGATATGGCCTGATAGCACCTAATAGGGCCATTATGGGGAGGGTCTTTGTCTTTCTCAGGTGTGGAATGCCATACATATTAATGAGAGATCAAGCCTCCTGCATAAAGCTTTCTCAAACAAAACACGTCATTAAAAATGTAAAAGACTTTATTGACTTATCTGAATGAGCAGTCAGGATGATTCTCACATAGTTTTGGAGCAAATATTCTAGGCTATGTGATACAATTTTCAAAAGTCTTGTGAAGAAATAATCAATATGTGTTTTGTGGTCTTATTTCAGCAACTTTCATTTTTATTTTTTTCAATAACCACGCATAAACATTATTCTATTAAAAATACAAACATGTACATACATGTTGCTCAGATCTCATGGTAGCCAAGTTTGTGCTATATAGAGTGAATTTACACCTTTGCCATTAACATGTTTATAAATAACTGAAAAAAGCACAAATGTCAGTGCATGTCAAAACATCCCAAGGGCCCCAAAAACACTCTGGTCCCCAGAGGGTTAAAGAAAAAGAAAGAAACTTTTTCATTCGCTCGGGAAAAAAATTGTGTTCGTTCGAGAAACTTTTGCGCTCGCTCGAAAAAAAAATTGCATTCGTTAAAGAAACTTTTGCGTTGAGTTCAATCGAGAAACTTTTGTGTTCGTTCGAGAAATGTTTGCGTTTGTTCGAGAAACTTTTGCGTTCGTTCGAGAAACTTTTGCGTTGAGTTCACTCGAGAAACTTTTATTCGTTCGAGCATTTGTTCAAAAAACTTGTGTTCGTTCAAGAAACTTTTGCGTTGAGTTCACTCGAGAAACTTTTGTGTTCGTTCGAGAAACGTTTGCGTTTGTTCGAGAAACTTTTGCGTTCATTCGAGAAACTTTCACATTCATTCAAGAATTTTTTCCGTTTGCTCGAAAAAAAATTGCGTTCGCTCAAGAAACTTTTGCATTCGTTAAGAAAGTTTTGTGTTCGCTCGGGAAAAAAATTGCGTTTGTTCAAGAAACTTTTCCGTTCGTTCGAGAAACTTTTGCATTGAGTTCACTCAAGAAACTTTTATTCGTTCGAGAAACTTTTGCATTTGTTCAAAAAACTTGTGTTCGTTCAAGAAACTTTTGCGTTGAGTTCA